TGATCAGAGTTTCCTTCTTGGACAACATGCAAACAGTCTGTTCAAGTGATAATCAGTTGTCTGAGTTTTTGGAAAACAGAACACTCCCTTTGCCCATTATAACCATCACCCTTTTCTGCCCCCTTATTCAAGGCTCTTCACCAGAAACCAGCAACTGGAAGAGTGGGCCATAGCATCAGAAATTATGCTGGTGCTACTCTTCAGTCTTTAGATCAGATTGATGAGTTGTGGCAAGTGTCCTAGGAGAGAGACACTCTCCTCAGCCTTTCCAGCCACCACCATCCAGCTGTCTTCCTACTTAATTCCCCTTACAGAGGAGTCTGGAAGAGCAGGACTCAGCAATCCTTGATCTCAGTGCTCTCCAGCCTGAATCACCACCACAGTCACTTCTTCTTCTTCTTTTTTTTCTTAATCCTCATCTGAGGACATTTTTTCCTTGCTTTTTTAGAGAGAGAGGAAGGGAGAGAAAGAAACATTGGTGTGAGAGAGAAGCATTGGTTTGTTGCCAGGACTAGGAATCATACATGCCCCGACTGGGGACTGGACCCACAACCTAGGTATGTGCTCTGACTGCGAATCAAATTTGCACCTTTCAGTTTACTAGATGATGCTCCCACCAACTGAGCCACACGAGCCAGAGCCACACTCCTTTTTAGAGCATAAGTTCCACCCAAAGTTGTCTGCCTCTCTCTGAAAGATGAGTGCTGGTGGGAGAAGGGGGACAGGGGGGTGAGAAGCTGGAGGGAACAGTGTTTTCTTACAGGGTCCATCCTACCATATGCTCTTACCTGTGCTAGTATTTCCTTCACACCGTAGTCCTCCCCAGCCTTTTCTCCTTGCATCTAATGGATCTTGGGGAGCACAGGCAGCCTAAGACCTCAGCTTTTCCCCTGCTACCTGAGGCTTCTCACAGCAGAGGCTCTTTACCTGCATTCTGTGGGATCTGTGATGGCTTCAGGATGACTGTGGACAATGTATAAACATTTTTGTTCATAGCTTGCACTAGGTATTCTCAGAGGGGTCCCTGATTCGAAAAAAGTTGACAGTCATTACCTTTCAGGCTTCTCATCCCTTGAATCAGGGACCCACACAGCAAAGGAAATTGAGAAATGAAAATATGTCAGGGATCAGCATGGGGAGTGCTGAAATGCTGTCAGAGTATCTTTGGATCCCAACTTCTCTCAGCTTAGCTGACACCATGTCTGAAAGGGAAGGGGGAGGGTTGATGGAGGGTGGATGGAATGACCTCAGGAAGTTTCGGTCCAGCAAGGGTAGGCAGAAGATGGGCAGAGTCAAATTCCCCTCAAATCTGAAATAGCTCACATTGTTCACCATATGAGAAATTCCTGAGCAGTCTCTGAGTAACCTAAGAGGTTGCTGAGGTTAGAACCCAGAAAAGGACCTAGGAAATCTGAAACCTCTGGGGTTTTTTGGTGTTTTTGTTTTTGTTTTTAATCCTTACCTGAGGACATTTTTTTCCATTGCTTTTTAGTGAGAGAGGAAAGGGAAAGGGAGAGAGAGAAACATCAATTGGTTGCCCCCACACACCTGGCTGGACAGGGGATCCAACCCCCTGGACCAGGGATCTAACCCGCAACCTAGGTATGTGCCCCCACCAGGAATTGAACTCACAACCTTTCAGTTACAGGTTGATGCTCCAACCAACTGAGCCACACTGGCCAGGCCTGAAACCTGTGTTTTTAATTATGAGAGCCTCTGCTAGCAGCCAGGCATTTCAGTTCAGTCCATCTGATCCCTGAAATGTCTGCTTCCTGCTGGTCCCTGGGACAGAGGCAGCAAGGACATTGTGTGAGAGGGAACTGAGAAAGAGTAAAAACCAACCAACACTCAGCTTCCTCAATCAGTTACGTTAGAGTTACTGAAGGAAGGTGAGGATTAACAACTGACTCCAGTCTCCCTAAAATAGTTGTTCTGGGCTAGTGGGGTAGGAGGTGACCCCTGGATTTTATGTTGCTCACAGGTCGGGTCCTGCACCTGAGAGGCCATGGGGAAGGGGTTATAGGAACATGCAATGACAAAACAGTATTCCAGTATGGCAGAGGCTTTTGACTTTTTAGGCAGCCTTGAGTTCAAATGCAGCTCCCTTACTAACTAGCCCTGTGTACTCCAGCAAGGTACTTAATTTATTTGACTGTTAGTTCTATCAGCCAGGATGCCCTATTTTATAGGATTGATGTGAGGGTTAAGGAAGAAAATAAAGATAAAGCTGCTGACATAGAATAGGCCCTCAATAAGTGTTATTTTTCTCCGGTTTCCATCCCTGTCTCACCCCTGGGAGAGCTCCATTGCCCCAAAGATGCAGACCATAACATCCCTGCACGTGCACACAGCCACACCTGTCCCTGGTTGAATTCACGCACTTGATACACACACACCAGCCTGGACAGTTGCACCTGAGCTAAGAGCAGCCTTCCCAGACAGGTGCCATGAGGACTAGCTTGCTGATTGTACAAGCTGTGGAAGTGCTCATCTGAGTAATGTTGCTTCATTAACCATCTCTGGAGAAGCTGTGTAAGGGGAATAAGGGGTGGCAGTGCGGCGTAACTCCACAGGCATTTTCCCTGGCTTGAATGTGCTTCTTGAGGGATAGTTTGCCCATCTGCACCAAGGAGGTCCTAGTCTATGCCCAGAGTTGTGTCTGGAGCTGTGCTGTCCAATACAGTAACCACTGGCCAGTCACATGTGGCTATTGAGCACTTGAAAGATGGCTAGTACAGCTGAGGAGTGGACTTTTAAATTTTTCATTATAATTAATGTAAATGTGAAAACCAATCCTTGATTTAGTTATTGGAAAACTAAATCAGGAGGGTGGTCCGCCTAAGCAAGATGGAGACTGCAGAAAGGAGGGGTGAGTCAGCACCGGATCCCCGCCGGCCGGTGCCGCATTCTCAGTCCTCTCCCCGGAGCCTCCTTCCCCAGTCTCTCAGGTGGCTCCAGCCCACTCTGCCCCAGCCTCCACCAGAGCCCAAGGTTATGGAACACAAGAAGTTGTAAAAGAATGCCCTGGCTGGTGTGACTCAGTGATTGAGCTCAGACCTGCAAACCAAAGGGTTTCATTCCCAGTTTCATTCCCAGTATAGGGCACAGGCCTGGGTGGCAGACCAGGTCCCGAGCAGGAACTCGCGAAATGCAACCACACATTGCTATCTCTCCCTCTCTTTTTCCCTCTCACCCCTTCTCTAAAAATAAATAAATAAAATCTTAAAGAAAAAAAAGAAAACTTTTAATATATTTCGAACAGCTTGAATGTGTGAATCAAGTCTTTCAGCAGTGAATTAGGAAACCTAAATACCAATCAGATATTTTCTGGTGAAAATTTAGTGGGCAAATTGGAACGTGCTGTAAGTGTAAAAATGCACAGTAAATTTCAAAGACCTAATACGACAAAACAATGTAAAATATTTCATTACTAATTTTTATATTGCTATGTTAAAATGATAATAGTGTGGGTACATTGGGTTAAATTAAATAAAACATATAGTAATAAAATTAATTATACCTGTTCCTTTTTGCCTTTTTAATGTGATATTAGAAAATTTGAACTTACAGATGTGACTTGCATTCTATTTGTATTGGGCAGCGCTGCCCTGGAGACTCTGGGGCTCAGGCGGCAGCATCTCCTGCTCCAGACACACACCATCTGTGTCATCTGTTCCCTGCCGCCTCAGGGGGCTTCTCAGAGATTTCTCTGAACAGCAGTGCAGCTTCCGCCCTTTTCTGCATTGCAGAGTAGACAACTAGAGTGAGAAACACTAGCACCCCCAAGTCCCAACCTTATAAGCTGCTGGTGGAGAATTTGGAAAGGAAAGAGAGGGCTGTGCCCCCACCAGGGAAGCCTTTCTGATGTCTCATAAACTGGAGAGGGAGGTGGCTGGGATACTAAGAATTGTCTGTGCCTGGTGTGGGGAGGGTTGGACGCTCGGGGATATTAATTTCCCAAGATTATTGACACTCCAGCCTCAATCTTTAAACCCAGGGTTCTCACATTCACCTCTGCCCTACTGAGAAGCTAGCCTGGTGGTTAAGTCCCGCTGTGACCTCCTGGTGCCGGCTCCTCTCACTTGTTAGGGACAGTAATGAATAGTCTCTTCAGAGCAAGTAGAGCAGCAGGAATTAGTTAGGAGGTCATGATGCTTGCAGATTGTTGGTTAAGGATGGGCGGGGGCTTTCGAGGGTGGGCCTGCAGAGAAGATCTCCGGGGCTGTGCAGCTCTCCACTGTGCCCCTCCTCCACCCTCCTTTCCTTCCCCTTCACTCCTCCCCTTCTGATGATGCCGAGGCTGCTATCCCTTGAGTTTTCGGCATCTCTACTTTTTCTGGCTCTGCTTTGTCCTCTATTTGAAGCGTACTCGGAGGCAGTCAGCCTCCCCTCTTCCCACCCCGCCTCTGCATCAGAGGTCTCCATCAGACAGTGACCTCTCTCCAGAGAGAGCTTCCTGCTGGGGCTGCATTAAACAAGGGAGCTGGGGGAAGGGTAGTGGAAGTGAACTAGGAGGCATTCCCGCTGCCATCTCTTGCTTCTAATTTTCACTAAAGCTCTCAGTGCCCCTCCTCCCCTTTTCCTCCAAGCCAAGTCCTGCTGTGTTCTGGGTCTCTCTCCTCTGACAAGGGCAGATTCTTGCTTTTGTTAGTCATTTTCTATGAGTTTTCCTCTTGCCTTCCCTCAAGGGCAGTAGGGATCTGTGACATGGGAATGATAGGGCGATCCCAACAAGAATGAGAAAGGAGGGATGGAGCTGGGTGTCCTGGGTTGGAATTTCTGCAGAGGAATCCCTTGGGAGGTGGACTATTGCTCCTCCAACCCTAGAGACTGAGAGTATGGGAAAGGGGTGGAACCTGAAATGGGCCAGGTGTGCTGCTCTCTGCAGACCTGGCTCATCAACTTTTGCATAAACCCGTATTCCTGGATTCAGGCAAGGCTATTGGGATACATGCTCAATGGGCAGGCAGAAAGGGTAGGAAGGGGGAGATCTGACAACAATAAGGGGCATGAAAAGTCTGAAGTAAAGAAAAACTCCAGAAATCCATGTAGTTTGGGCTGCTACGGTCATGGCCTTTGGGCAGCAGGTTTAATGATACAACAGAGGCAGGTGGTAGAGGCTCATGCGGACACAGTGCCAGTGTGTAGTCTGTCTGCCCCCATTCCACATTCATACCCTCTTCTCCTGAGCCTGAGGTCCTCGACCCTAGTTCCTTGTGCCTAGAGAAGGGGACAGAGCAGGAAGAGAGGGACACTACCTGACTGAAGAGCAAAGATTCCAAGAAGCAAGTGGCACTTCCCTCTGAAATAATCTTATAGCTGTGGTTGGCAGTTGGTATTCGTTATTAAAGCGTATAAGTGTGTGTAAAGGAAGCCTGGTGGTTAGACTAGCAGGCTGGAGCCTTGGTTATATTTTCTGCTTTGTGTATGGTGGGGTGAAGGCTGGGCTGACTATAAGGTCTCTATCTCCAGCTCCCTGGGACCCTCAGGGAAGAGGTAACCATGTTATCCTCAAACTGCAAATGCATGAGGCAGACCCTATCAGGAGGTGTCATAGCTGTGAGCACAGTGCAGGTAGGAGGTGTGGGAGGCCTATGCTGCTTGGGATGGGGTTCCCAACCAAGTGACCTTGGTTCCCTTCTTTTTTGGTATCTGAAGCTGGCTTGGCTGGGTCCCCAGTATGAAAGTCAAGGTCAGAAGAGCTTGGCTGTGACCCGGTTACCCCCAGAGTTCTTATCCCCAGAGGGCCGGGGTGCCACAAAGTCAAAGGTCACGTGATGCTTGACCCGTCCTTTGCCCTTGCTCCAGAGGGCAATGAGCCCAAAGCAGAGGGTCACAGAGGTGAGGAAGGGGAGGAAGCCAACCGCCAGCACCATAGCTACACCTCTGCTGTCCAGGAAGAAAGGCCCTGGGACCCCTGGCATGGTGATGTTGTGGTCAAAGAGAGTGCCATTTGGGGCCTCAACTTGGATTACTTCCAGCCAGGTCCTCAGGGAGTCATTCCCAGCAACATTGCTGACCACACAGACATAGGCCCCCCTATCCCGTAGCTGCACTGAACGGATCTCCAACGTCCCATCCTCTAGCACCCTTACTCTCCCAGCTCTTCCCAGCCACGCTCCCGGAGGCCTCATCCAAGAGACAGTGGGGGCTGGGTCTCCATCCCCAGAGCAGGAGAAAACAGCACGTCCCCCCTCCTCTGCGATGACCCATCGTGGCCCAGACTTTTGGATTAGGGCTGGTTGGCAAGTGAAGTGCCCTGGAGGTAGGATGTCTGAGAAGTCCCTCAGGCTCTTGCCTCGGACATGCTGAGGGCCAGCACAGGCAGGGGGGGACGTGCCGAAGTCCAGGTGGCGGCGGAGCCGCAGCAGCCACAGGAGGCGGCAGTCACAGGTCAGGGGGTTTCCAGACAGCCTCAGGGTGACCAATTTATCTGGAGAAGGGAAGGCCGTTTCCTCGAGTGTCTGAAGGGCGTTGTCCGCCACATCTAGGAGGTGGAAGGCAGTCAAGCCATGGAAGGCATGGGCAGCAATGGAGGTGAGGCAGGCACCTGACAGCCGAAGCTCCTGGAGTCGCACCAGGGGACTGAGCCTTCGGGCTGGAATGGCCGAGATGGGGTTCTGAGATAGATCCAGGACCCTGAGGAAGCTCAGATGGTGCAGTGCCTGGAAAGGCACGGAGCTCAGATTGCAGCGAGTGATGGCCAGGCTGCTAAGATTGAGTCCAGCCAGGCTCCCAGGCTCCAGGGCCTCCAGAGCTGGCCAGTGATGGATCTCCAGCTCCTTTAGCTGCCCCAACCCCCGGAGTGCCCCCGCCGGCAGCCTCCCAATATCTAGTTCTCGAAGCCTTAGGGCCACTAGTTCTGGGAGCCGGGCCAGGGCCAGGCCAGGCACTGTGCTGAGGTTGCAACGCTCCAGGGTGAGGGTGCTCAGCTTGGCCAGTCCTGCAAAGGCCCCTGGAGCCACAAACACCAGGTGGTTGTCCCCAACCTCCAGCTGCTGGAGGCTGCCCAGCTCCCCAAATGCTCCGTCAAGGAAGAGGACAATCTGGTTAAGGCGGAGGTCCAGCAAGGTAAGAGAAGACAGGCCTGAGAAGACCCCAGGCCCCATGATTCGCAGCCGATTGCCCTGCAGTCTGAGGGTGACGAGGCTTTGTAGGCCATGGAAGGCCCCCGGCTCCAGGGTGGACAGCTGGTTGTAGCTGAGGTCCAGTTCCTGGAGCAGGCTCAGGCGGGAGAGCATCCCCTGCTGAAGCGCCCACAGGCGGTTCCCACTCAGGTCCAGGAGCTCAGTGTCCAGCGGGAGTCCCCCAGGCACAGCCTCCAGCCTCCGGTGGGCACAGAGCACTGCCCGGGGCTGAGACGTACAGTCACAGACAGTAGGGCAGCCGCCACTGCTCCCTCCGGGCAGGAGGAGCAAGAAAAGGAGAGGGGGCCATGGGGGCCAGGCTTGCTTTGGAGCTACTGTGGCTGCAGCCATTCCCTCTTCAGTCCTGGAACAGATGATGACATGGACCTTTTTGGCAAGTGGCTTCAGATGATGGTGACCATGGACTCCCCTGGGCCTCTTTAGAGCAGAGAGAGAGAGAGAGAGAGAGAAGGAGAGAGATAAAGAGAGAGCGAGAGAGAGCGAGCGAGCTACCCATCTCAGCACTGCTGGGAAGTAGAGCACAGACCAGGAGGAATTCTGGTGTGTACCTCCCTGGGGCCTCCTGGGGCTTTTCTTTGGGGAATCTCTACTTTCCTTTCCTCTGGGCTCTGGGTGCCTGTAGGTCAAATGATACTAGCTCATAGAACTGCAGTCAAGCCTGATTTCTGCGAGGAGGCTTTGTGGGCCTGGGACCAGGATGGGAAGCCACAGGACATAACTTTGAGTCTCCCTGTAATGGGTTTTCTCCTGTATCTGTGAGATCCAGAAATGCTTCGGGTCCCTTCTCCCAGATACCTGCTTTCCTCTCTCCTCTCATGTTATCAACCTGTACCTTTGTCAAAGGCTCAGGGGGATCATAGCCTTGGATCCTGAATGGAGAGGAGCCTCATCTTGAGTCAGTCTCCCAAGGCTGGGAACCCTGCAGGCCTCAGCCCCTCCATCCCCTCTTACTGCTTCTCTGCCTCCTCCGGTCTGGCACAGATCCCAAGGCCCTAGACTAGCAAGATCCAATCTCCCCAGGATGCCTGTGTGGATGACAGCCAAGTGGCACATGAGCTGTGGCCCAGGACACAGGGGCCATTTGAACCCCTCACAAGAACCTCAAGGGCAACCCCTCCTCCCCGACAGATGATGTTGGGGGATGTGAGGGACCCGAGAGATGCTCAAGTTTGGAGCTTTGTCACTTGGTCCTCAGACTTAAACTTCTCTTATGTCTCTCCTTTGTGGTGTTTCATTCAAGTCCAGTGTGTGAATGAATGTGAGGGAAGTCTCTTGTCCCTTTTGGCATTGGCTGCCTGAGCAATGTACAAGAGACAGATTGTGAGCTAGGGAGGCACAGACAAGTACGGAGAGACAGCACATGATCGGACATGGTGGGTGGGGAGCCAGGCAGCCCTTGGCTGGCACAGCAAATCTCTGGACACAGGCTGTGTGCACAGCCTGTTCACTTAAAGTGGGTTTCTGGGTGCCGGGGGCCTGGACAAAATCAGGAAGACTGACTACAATGACCACTGGACACTGACTGAGGTGACAGAGGAGAAAGAAGGTGGTGAGACCCCATGACTCATCCTGTTCAGTGCCAACAGGGACCCCCAGGGAGGGGAGGGTTTGAAATTGGCAAGGGATGGCCAAATGGAGGCAGGATGCCCGGGTTTCTTTCTAGCCGCAGATCCCAATCCCCTTTGGGCTTTCAGGCTTCAGGCTTTCTGGGCCCTAGCAGGGTCAGCTTTCTACTACATGCCACATTTTCTTCCACATGGAACTTAGGTGGGGCAGTTTAAGAGATGGCATTTCTTCTCATTTCCTTCCTACTCTATGTCCTTCCCTAGGGTTGTTGTGGCGGCTATCCTATAGCTACTTCAGAGGCTGTAGGAATTGGGAAACTGAAGAAAGAGGCCAAAACAGCAGAGGGATGGAGGACACTATTCTGAGGCTTGAGAGAGAAAGGCATGGGGCAGGCAAAGGCTGCTGGCCGGCCTCCTCTCGTCCCTATCCCAACCTAACAGGTACCTCTGGCAGGCTAAAAGTTCTCTGGGGAGACAAATGCCCCCGCCTCCCTCATTCTCCCTGTGCCTGTTCTGGGAAGTCCACCTGACAGCTAGCCCTTTATCACCACTGTTGCAGTTCCTGTTCATCCTTTTTGCTCTGCATTCAACAAAAGTGCAGTGAAGCATGTAGCCCAGCTTCCCTCCTTCCCACTGCTGCGACTTCCCTCTTAGCTCCTAAAGCCTGCTGGGCCAGGGGCTGGGGGATCTGGGGCCAACCCCTTTTCTTTATATATAAGGTGGCTAATTTAATCACAAACTTCCCTTGCCAGTCTCCATGGCTACAGGACTGGCTTCCGGCCACTTTGCAGGAAGAAATAGGTGTCAGAATCACTTCTCTCTCTCTCTCTCTCTCCCCTTAAATGGGCTGGGGTCTGGGGCACCATCCCCTCAAGGAATAGGGTGCTTTTTTGGTCTATGTTGCAGTGCAGCGACTCATTTGAACCTGGATATCCTCTTTAAAGCAGACCTGATTGAGGCATGGGGACCTGTGTGGGGAGGGGGCTCTTGGAGGAAAGATTTCTGGAATATTCACACTGATTTTTGGGCCAGAAGACCCTTCTCAGAGTTAGAGGGAGCACTGGGGAGACAAAGAGAGGTCTCCTCGGAGTCCGTACCCCTGGCGGGTGGGGGGCGGGGGCACTTGGGACATCTTAGTTTTCCCATCAAAGTCCCGTGGAGCCAAGATCAATGGTTGGCTGGGGGTGGGGTGGGGGTGGGGCCACAAATTCTCTAGCCTTGACAGGCACACAGGTCTGGTCTTTTCCCGGAGAATGTTAGGAAGAAGGGCAATTACAGCACTGGGACCGGAGGTGGGGGCACTTACCGGCGAGGCTGGAGGGCTGCATCAAGTTGGGCGCTGCATCTGTCCAGGGCTGGGGGCCGTCCCGTTCGAGCTGCACCTTGGCCCACACCGCCCCAGGAGCTCACTCCACTGCCCCCTGCCCGCCTGCCCTGCCCGCCCGCTGCTTCTGTTGCTGCTGCATCCGCTGCTGCCAAGATCGAGGTAGAAAAAGAGCCAGAAAGCGTTTCTCCTTTTTTTCCTCTCTCTCTTTTTAAACCAGGCGAGAATGAGTCTGCAGCAACCCTGTTGGTGCAAAATAAATAAATAAAGCAACCAGGGAGGGCTGCAGCAAGCACCACTGGAGGATGGCGAGTGAGGGGGTGAGGGCACCGAGGCCGGCTCTGGAGCCCCCAGGGGTTGGGGTCGGGCAGTAGAGGCAGCTGGGCAGCTCCAAAGGGTCCCTTGGACATCCTGACTGCCTTCTGGGGAGCTCCGGGGCCAAGCACCTTAGGGCTGTCTTTCAGTCTCCCAGATGCAGGGTGATTCTGTGCAACCTCTCAATGTAAATGTCCCTTGTGGGTACCGCTTGTGGGGAAAGTCTTCGGCCCAGAACATCCCCTGTGGAGATGAGTTTGTGGCTCCTTCCGTGGGGGTTCTGAGAACCTGCTCCCAAGCTTCAGTGAGGGATGATGAAGTAGGGGCTCGAGTCCTTATGGACATTAGTGGGTGTCTGGGCTGAAACTGGGTCCCCACATAGCAACAAGACTGCAGAGCAGTGTGTAGGTAATCGTATTTAAGGTTCCCCTGACATACACACCTCTTGCCTTTAAAATTATTTTATAAAGAATGGCACAAGTTGGGGTTTATGTTTACCCAACTCACCCCTCCCCTGCCAGGAAAACCCCTTCCCAGGACCTGCTGTTAACCCCTCAGCGGAGGTCTCACAGCTCTTTTTAAAGCCAAAAGGAGGGCTTCCTCCTCCCTGCTGGTGTGGTGGTTCCCAACGCTGAATGGCAGAGCTGCATCTGCTTCCCTTCTCCTTAAGCAGAGCAGGGCCCACACAGGCCTCCGGGGTTCTGTCCTTGGCCTTCCAACCGATCAGTTTCCAGCCACCTCTGCTTCTCTTGGACTTTCTTGTGACAAGAGACAGCTGGGCTGGGATAGAGTTTGGAGCACCCCAGGTCTCGGGCTGTTGGGTGGGGCACCATGGAAATGTTCTAGGGGTTGGCACTCTTCCTGAAACTCCTCTGAGTCGTGACCTCGAGGAAGAGATGGTGTCTGATCAAATGTGTCTATAGAGCTGCATGAGTGCAGGTTGAGTGTGTGTGTCACCTGTATGTGGGTATATGTCACTGATCAGATCTGTGCTAACCCCTAATGTCTATTTTTAAAGTGCACATAAGAGGTTTGAGTTCTAACCCTCTCTGTCTGTGATGCTCTCGGCCTTCATTGTACACTATCCTGTACCCAAACCCCTTTAAAAAATAACCCCAGCCCCTCACTGTCCATGTACGCAGGTTTTTTTTTTTAAGACCCCAGGAAAAGGGCAGTGTGCCCAACCATTTCCTTGCTGAGCTGGGAGGAAGGGGAAAGGCAGAAAATCTAAAGATCCAGATTCAAGTTCCCTACAGGTCCTTCTGGGCTCCGGCCACCAGTCTCTGAGCTTGATGCCTCTCCCTCCGCTGAAGCGCACAGGAAAATGCAATGAGGTATTTCAAAGGCCTATTCTTGGCTTCTGAGCCCAGAGTTGAGTTTCATTCCTTCAGGGTGTCCTGGATCCCCTGTTGTCCTGAGGACACCTTGGTCCTCCTAGAGGTCCTGTTCCACCCGCCTCCAGAAGCTGGGGTGAGGGGCATGGGAGAGAGGACACAACGAAGCTGAGGATGGAGATGCTGTTTCTCCATCCCTGCCCTCTGGTTCTGGCCCACTGCCAGGCAGGCCCCTGGGCAGAAAACCAGTCTCAGCACTTGCTCAGTCCCACAGAACAGACAGGGCCACCCTCCAGGGGGCACAGGAAAGTAAAAGGTTGAGGGTGGGAAGGGATCAAGAGAGGTGGTCCAGCAGGCTCTAGGGAAGGGAAAGGAGTCCCCTTCCAGGTCACTCGGGCAGCCCCTCAGGTGAGTCGATTTCAGTGCTGAAGAGTTCCTTGTAGAGTGGGGGGAAAGCAGCTTGGACCACGACGGGGTGGAGATGCTGGAAGTTTTGCAGCTTTTCCATATGCTGGCTGCACAGGCTCCGAAGCTTCCCCTTGGGTGGCAGCTGGAGATGGGTTAATGGGGAAGGAGAGTCAGTACTTCAGGGCTTGCCCCATAGCAACAAAGTCCTCTCATCCTTTCTGGCCTAGAGTAACCCTCCTTGCTTTCTCTCTATGCACTTGGCACTTGTGGAACACCCAGACCCCGACCCCACTGGTAAGGGTAGGTATGTGTTCAGGAAAGTGGAGGCAAGGATATGCTCATGTGGGCCAGGTTCGTGTTTTATCGGTGAAACCCCCAATTATATTCCTGCTACTCTTAAAAGAAACCCTTTTAAAGCCTTTAATTCACAATTTATGCTCTTATAATAGTGAAATTCTGTGACTCTCTGGTTTACATATTGTCACATGACTCTTTGCCTTTGTTGATGCCATTCCCTTCACCTGGAATGCCTTTCTAATTCTTTGCTTGACTAATTCTTACTTTCAATTGTTATCTCCTATGGGAATGTTTCTCTAACTAGCCCCTCATCCCCCCAGGTTAAAGGTCCTTCTCTGTATAGCACGTAAATCCCATTTTAGAAAAATGATCCAATTTATCTGTCTTCTTACCCCAGGTTTAAGGTCCTTGGGTAGGGTCTTTCTCTCTCTCTCTCTCTCTCTCTCTCTCTCTCTCTCTACTCCCTCTCCTGACTCCACCTCCCTTTCCAAAAATGCTCAATAACTTTGAACCAAATAGTTTCTAAGCAGGTACCCAGTACTGCCAGGACCCAGTGGGAGGGGGAATGAAAAATATCCAGAGACCCATGAGGAGACAGAGAGGGAGACCTCGCTGGAGAAAGGCTGAGAAAGACATTGATCTACTGCAGTTTCCTCTGTAAGCAAGTGAGGCTTAAAAATACCTCTCACAGCTACCACCACCCCTTCTACCCATCTTAGTTTCCCAGGAAAGGGGCAGCCAAGGAAGAGTTTGAGTTCATCGTCTTTTCATTTATGCTGCTTTACATTGAGTTTGTCTGGGCTTTTGCAATAGCTTCATTCATTCATTCATTCATTCAGTTAGTCAGTCAACACATAGTTGTTAAGAACTTATTTAGGCACTGGGAAGGGCAGCAGTGATACATCAGTGAATAAAATAAAATATCTACCTTTATTAAATGTATATTCTAGTGAAGGATCCAGAAAATGAACAAGTATATAATGTATCAGAGAATGTCTTTAAAGAACAATAAAGCAGAATGAGGGGCTTTTTGTAAGAGGTGGTCTGGGAAAACCTTTCAGGATGAAGAGATGGAGCAAGCCATTTAGAAAACTCAGAGAAGAACCTGCCAGCAGCTGGAACAGCAGGTGCAAAATCCCCGATATACAACTGTGTGTGATGTGTTCCGGGAATAGCAAGGAGGCCAGTGGACTGGGCAGTTGAGAGGGCAGTGGAAGGAAATGAGGTGGGGAGAGAAGTCCGGAGTCCTATCATGAGGCCAGTAGGCCATGACACAGACCCTAGATTTGATTCCCGGCGGGATGGGCACCTTAGGAGGACTGAGAACAGTGCTGTGTGGCTGGCATAGGACAGACAAGGGTGGAGCAGGGGCCCAGTTAGGAGGTCTCACTAATAGTCTAAGTGAAAACTGATAGCTGGGACGGGGGGAGGGGGCATGTGTGTGGTGACAGTGGGAGGTGATTATTCTGAAGGTGGATCTAAGCAGGTTTCCTTCTCAACTGCTCTCCCAAGTTCCAGCCTTTCCCCCTCCTAATCTGCCCTCCCAGACCTGAATTCTTTAGGGCAGAGACTGTTGTTCAAGTCATTGCTGTATCCTCAGCACCGGGCACTGTGCCTGGCACATAGCAAGTGCTCGTAGCTTGAATACTTACATAAGTGGTTCCTTTACACTGGTTTCAAATTAAATTGCCTAAATAATAGCTCTGATGATATCATCCCTCTAGCCCTTGGGGCTCGCCATTGCCTAGAAATAAAGCCTTTACTCTTTAATATGTCATTTAAAGTCCTTTCTGATTTGCTCCCTGACCTAATTTTCAAGCTTGTCTTCTGCTACTTTCCTGCCTCCTTCAATCTATTCTGATCTTACACTTTAGTCAAAATGTACCATGAACTATATTCTCCATACAGGCATTATTTTGTCTCCTTTTTTTTTTTGTTCATATTGTTCTCTAAACTTGAAATACCTGCCCTACTCCCATGAATGTCTGTTAAAATCTTACCTTTTTCATGGCCTAGTTTAAATGCCACCTTCTCCAGGAAGCATTTATGGTTGACTTCTTTTACTCCCAAATTATTTTTAATCCTGTTCTGTGCTCTTTTAACATTTCTCCAATATTTCTCATCAAAGTACTGTATCGGGGGTATAGAGATATGGTAGAAACAGCACGGAGATTAAATCTTATGTTTACCACTTACCAATCGTGTGAACTTGGATAAGTCATTTAAGTTTCCTTTACCCTACAGGAGGATATTAATACCTGCCCTATTGACCGAGCTGCCCTGAGGATGAGGATGCACATTTGCAACAGCACTTTGTTAATTGCATTATTATTATATCACACATTAGCTTCTACTCTATGTTAGAGCTCTAGGTGCATGAGCCTTTTCTTCACAGCAGATAGAAAACTTGTGGTGGGGATAAGGACACATCTCTGTATCTTTCCATTCCACAGTGCCTTGTACAAGCAGGTGCTGGGTAAGTGTTGGCTATATTAAACCGAATTGCTCCCTGGAGGTCCCTTCCAATTCCAGGCTCTCTAACTTTCCAGCTTTACGCAGCACATAGAAGTGACTGCCTGTTCCCTTATTTCCTGTGCTAGTACAATCTCTCTAATGCGTTATGGCAGACGCTCCTCTGTACCCTCCGACCCTAGGCTGCACAAGGCCTGATGTCACAGCTCTGGCGCTGGGCCTGGCCTCTTCTACCCCCAGGGACTGGTCCTACCTCTGCCAGGATGCCTTGGCGATGAGTCTTGCAGAGATGATGGTGAAAGGCCAGCTCCAGATTGGATTGAAGCTGTTCTACTTTCCTTTTCTCTTGGAGCCCTGGCCGACCTGAAAGAGGGGATGGGACCATAGTGAGAACAAGAAAAACCATGGACATTAGCTTCCACCAAGAGTGCACCATTTTGGACATCTGTGCTAGATAAGGTCTTTCAGCTGAGTGTCTATGCGTGTGTGTGTGTTGACTTGATGACGGTTAGCTCCGGGGCCTTGGGCTTGGCTAGCTGTCCACAAGGAACACTGCGGAGAGGGATGAAAGGGATGAGAACATCCAATCTGCCCCTTCCAAGCTGTCTTCTCTGGTCCCTGGATACTTCACGTAGTCCATCCAATGCTAGCCACTAGGATTCTGCCATGGGGGAAAAAAGATTGGAAGAGAGCCCCCTGTCCCCTGGCCAAGGATGACGTCAGATAGATGATGGCCTTCGTGAAGCCACCTAGGCCAGCATGAGGACTGCCGCATCAGTCTGTGGTTAACTCAACAGACAAACTACCTTTTGCCCTGGGTCTGTAAAAGAGCCAGAAGTCATTTTTTAAATTTATATTTCCAGTTTAAGGAATATTTTTAGGTCTCTACTCATTGACAGAGCCAGAGGACTGATAACTCTGGTCTGCAAACTCAGGATAGTTGCTCAACCCACTTCCCCAGGTTCTCTGAACACTTAACATGCCGCCAGCCAGCCCACTCCCTTCTAGCGGAGTGGGTGTCCTGAGTCCTGCCATGGCGGCGTACAGACTTAAAGTTAGTCCACACAGAGCAGTGATTCTCAAGTTTGGTGGCACAGTATGGTCACCTGTGGGAGGCTGTTAAAAATGTGGGTGCTCTGACTGCACCCCAGATTAATAACCTTGGAATCTCCGGGAGGTGGAGCCAGGCAGCAATGCTTTTTAAAGCTCCCCAGGTGAACCCGACGTGCGCCACAGTGGCATGACTGGCTTGGATGCGCACACAGACTCATTTCTCTTGGGGAAGTGGCTCACTTCCCCTCATCCTCACACCACTCCACTTCTCCAGCTCTGCCTGTGCTGCCCTTTCTCCTCTCAGGCGCCTCTGAATCTTCATTTTAACTCATTTGACAGCAATTTTGGCCTTTAATGGCCTCACATGCTCCTTAAAGCCTTTTCCCTGATTTAACCATATCCAAAGGTCCAGGCTCTTCAATAATTGTCACACCCCTACTAGCTGAATGTCCCTTACCCTAGCCCTGCGACACTCACCAGCATTGATGAGGACCAGGGCTGTGTAGAGGGCAATCTCATCCTCAGAAAAGCGCAAGGCACTCAGGGAGCGCGAGAAGTCAAAGATGGAGCTGATGAGCTCACTGCAGCCTGAGAGGAAATGAAAGAGTGAGCAAGCTGGGTGAGACCGTGGTGCCCAAGGACGCCCACCCTCTTGGTGTTTGGAGCAGAGGGGCCAATCTGCCCAGAAAAGAGGGTGCCTTTGAAGCTTTGGACCCATCCGACTCCTCTCATTTCCATCCGACTCTCACCCAAGGCTCGGAAGAGCTCCACGCCACCGTATTTGCCTTCGAAAAACACCGTGTGGTTGTCGGCGTTGTAGGCCCGGCACATCCTCACCAGCACCACTTCCATTGCTCCTGCGAGTGGGGAGGAAAGGCGCAGGTGCAGCGTCACAAGAAGTCAGGCATCCATCTCTGTTGCCCTCAGTGTCCTGGTTCCTTAACCACCTCCCTCCGCTCAGCCCGGCCCCATTCCATACTCTGTGCCCCTTCCCTCCAGGCCTGCCCACCCTCCCTGGGCACCTGCTTTGAGTAGCACAATCTGGTCATTCTGGCAGAGCTCCATAAAGCCCGAGAGCCTCTTGGCGAACTCCACCACGTACTGAATGGCCTCGGTGAGACGGTGGGCACAGCGTTCCCACATCTCCCACATGGACTGCAGGGAAGGAGGAGGTCCCACTGTAGCCCTCTTTCTGACCCGGTGACTGCTCCAAGCCCCTGGGAGCCCAGACTGACAAATTACAGGGGGAAGGTTTTGAACTCTCTCATTCCCTGACATGGCTGGCCATTTTAGCCTATCGTTAGCACAGACGCACACTCAGGGGCAATTCTCATCATTAGGTCACACTTACTAAGCACCCACCAGCCGCTGGCACTGAGTGAGCGGTTGCGGGAGAATAAAAAAAAAAAGTCTAAGATACGGTTTTCCCTCAATTTGCATCTTATTGAAACAAAAAGAACAAACTGACCCCCTCCCCCAAAGGACACACCTAAAGACTTTAATAACCTAGAGAAGTAACAGTTCAGTGCCAAGGGAGTGTTTTTAGAGCAGGTGGTATTGTCAGAGTGCGATAGAGAGACAATGTAAGCTTTGGAGCCCACGGATCTGAAATTGCCTTTGGCTCCACCACTTTGTGACCTGGAATGACCCTGTTAACCAGTCCGAGCTCAGTTTCCCAGTCTGTTAAAATTAGAAACACATGCCAGCCTCATAGGTTGGTTGTCATAAGGGTCAAGGATAATGTAAAAAAGCATTTAGCCCAGTACCCGGCGAAGAAGGGGTGTTCATTCAACAAATGGTAATCAGGGCTCTGACCGTTGGTTGACAGAGGAAGAAGGAGAGTGCACCAAGCTGGGGTGATGGAGACCAAGTAAAATATTACTAGGCAGGGACTCAGGGAAAGCTCTCATCTACCTGCTTGGGTGTACGCAGCCCCCCACTTTGAAGTGTGCGCACGTTTGTGTCTATCTGTGATACCCAGGCTCGCTCCAGCCCACAGAGTGTGCAGGTGGCCATCTCTGGACTCCTCAGTGGTTGGATGTCCTCCCTCCAGGAAAGTGCCTGGCCTCACCTTCCTTTGATAGCCAGCCACTTCCTCCCGGGAGAAGAGGTTGGAGCGCTGCTGTAGCAGGTCCTCCAGCCGCAGCTGACACGTCTCTCGGTAGGACTTGCACACATTCTGCACCAAGTGCTCTGGGGCCAGAGGAGAAGACATGCTCCATCTCAGCCAGCTCCTACCCTACGCATGTTAAAGGCACCCCTCTGCCTGACCTGCCCTTGCTTTGCCTCCTCCCAGTCCCTTCTCCAAGACCCCTCAACTCCCTTGGCTCATGTTTGGTTTACATGGGGTGCCTACTAGGCCCTGTCTCTTGGAAGCCCCCCTCATCTTCCCCACCCCTGCTGCCTCCTCAGCTGCTCACCAATCTCTGTCAGGGACGCATACGGCGCCTCTGGGGTGCTGTGGAAACTGGGACTGTAGTAGCTGTCCGGGCCATGTCCTGGTTCCCCCAGCCCAGGATGCCTGGGGTCCTCAAAATGAAGGCCATATCTGTCAGAGGTCAGCTGGCTGCCTGTGCTATAGAAGCTCTCTCTGCCCTCAGCCTTGCCCCGCTCAGGGCTGTATTCGAGATGGTACGAGGCCCCGTTGAGCCTGGCCTTGGCCAAACTGTTGGAGTAGGAAGGCCTGGGGCCTGGAGCTCTCAGGAGGCCTGGGGGGCAGGCAGAGGCCTCCGGCAGGTCAGGTGAGGAGCCCAGGGGCAGCTGCCCATCTGGGAGCCCCAAGGTGCAGGAGAGGGGGTCTGCCCCTCGGCCCCCTGCAGGAGGGGTCCTGGCCACTTGCTCCCGTTGTTGCTGTTGCTGCTGCTGTAGTTGTTTCTGCACCTCAGCGTGTAGGCTGTCCCTTTGCTTCTTGGACATGCGGCCAAACTTGACAGCTGAAAGAGGTTGGGGATCAGGAGTCTTTCAGGCAGGAGGACAGGTACTGGGCAGAGTCAACAGGTGTTTTGATTATTGCGGGATTAACCTGCTGCTCCCTGAATAGCTGACCCTGAGCAGAACTTTTCAGGTCTTGCCTGAGAACTTCCCTTCAGGGGACTTTTGTTCAAGAACCACCGCCCCCCTCCTGTTTGCTTCAGGGCTCCATCCAACCCAGACATTTTGGTCTCCTGAGCAAACTCTCCTAGCTTGAAACCAGCTTCTGAATGTGGCAGAATTTAAGCAATGAGTCTAGACTTAGAATTCTGGCCTCCTCATATTGGGGCTGGGGGTGGTCGAGTAGGGGGCCTCAAGCTGTATTGGGGTCACCTCGCCTTTCTAGGAGGGTCGGAGGAAGAGGAGAGCTGAGAACACAGGTCTCCCTGTGGTCAGGTCTGCAGGCTCCCTGGTGACCTAGATACTCACCACAGCCCAACCCAGGCTCCGCGGCTTGTTTCTGAACATCCTCTTCTGCTCTCTCTTTCCTGCCTTTTCACTCCCCCCCACCCCTCCCAGGTGTGGGGGCACAGCCCCTCGCCCCGCCTGCCCCTTGCACCCCTGTGTGTTTCCTTTCACTTTGTTATTTTGGGCGCTGAAAAGTGCTGACAGACTCCTTCTGGCTCCTCATCACCTCATGCCTCCCCCAGCCCCGCCTTGGGTTCCCTCTGTGGTGGGGGTGGGGGTGGGGTGGGGGTGGGGGCCTGAGGAGGCGGTGGGTGAGAGAGGGGGAGAACGGCACCAGGAACAGCAAGCCTCCCCGTCCTCACGGCTGCTGGGTTCTCAGGCTGCCACTGCTCTCAGCGCTGTGTTCAAGGATGGGGTGTGGGGCTAAGGAGGAAGATGGGCTAGAGCGATGGGCCAGGAGGGAAAGAGGTAGAACCTGGATTGTTCTGGACCAGGGGGGAGTGGAGTGAGGCGAATCCATCCCAAGGAGGGGAAAATGAGGACTTGGGGACCTTGGGGAAAGGAGGGTTGTTTGAGAAGAGCCTAAAGTTGGGGATTGTGAAGAGCTTTGATGAGGGTGGCCTGCCCACCCCCATGTTGGCCAGTGGAAGAGACGGCCTGTCAGGGAGAGACAAAGAGTAGACCTCCAGAAGGCGTTTGTACAGGCCAGGCTGCCCCCCAAGGCTGCAGGGAAAGTTCAGGGGGCTGCCCGCTTGGCCTCACCATCTCGGGACATGCCCAGTGCGAGGCATTTCTTCAGGCGGCAGTGCTGGCATCGGTTTCGACTAGTGCGATCGATGGGGCAGTTCTGCTGCCGGGTGCAGGAGTAGGTCACGTTACAATGCTGGCTCCGGCGGAAGAAACCCTGGGGAAGGCAGGTGGACACCCAGCTGCTGATGCTGGCCAGGCCCAGCTCACAAGCTCTGGCCCTGGCTTTACCAGATCCTACGATCAGTTTTCTCTCCTCCCTTTTCTTAGCATGATTGCAATTTGCCCTGCAATCACTTCCCCAACTTAAGACCAGGCCCCACTGTATTCAGTCCCTTCCAGGCAAGGTGCCACCCTAGCTGCCTCAGCAGCCCATCCCTGGAGTCAAGGGCTGCCAACCCCCTCTCCTCATCTCTGGGAGGCTGTGTACAGATGTGTGCTCACCTTGCACCCCTCACAGGTAATAACCCCGTAATGGATCCCAGATGACTTGTCCCCACAGATTTTGCAAGGAATCACTTCAATTTGTGCTGAAAAAGAAAGAGCAGGAGGTTAGCTCAGGAGACTTTTCTAGACCCTGCCCCACGTTCCTGGGCTGTTGATACAGGGGCATGGTGTTTCCCTAACCCACCCAGCTCCAGCTTGCCGTTCCCCTCTTGCGACATGGAAGAAGCAAAGGGTCTGTGGAGGCTGTTTTTTGTTTTGTGGGGAGGCTGGGAGTTGTACCAGCTCTGGAGGGGCAAAGAAAGCAGGTGCAGAGAGGCCACCTGCTCCGCCCTTCAAGTTGAAAAGCTCCAGTTGCCTCCCTCCCGCCTGGAGACCTAGGAGTCCTTACTGCTTCGAAACACCTGCTTCCCGCCCAGGGGGCTTCCTCTGTGCCACCCTCCCCCACTGGGGCTGGGCTCCCATGGGCAGAGTGTGGGCCATGGCGGGAAGATGCAGTCAACCAGGCAGGGGCCCCCAGGGGTCAGGTAGAGAGGCCAGCCATCCTCAGCCGGGCAGCGGAGGCTCAGGGAGGGACAGGGTCCACAGGGTGGCGCCTCCAGAGGGTAGGGAGAAGACCGGGTGGAGTGGGGCTAAACAAGCCAGCTCTGCTAGATGCTCAAGAGCCAGGGAAAGAATCAAATGGGGCTCCGAGGCTCCTGGCCCTCTGAGCAGAGAAAGGGTGGCCCTGTGTGTACTGGCACATTAGAGTACGTATACTTATGTGCGCATGAGGACCTCTGTGTCCAACTATACACACAGAAATCATGAATGTGTGTATGTTAACCACTACCTGGGACTTGAGACCATCTCTTTCAACCTTTACCATGTTCACACAGCTAGTTTGCCCCAGAGCTGGGTCTACGCCCCAATTTCCCTGAGCTTTCCATTATGCTGTTCTGTGTACATGGTTTTTGGGGTGCACATATCACCAGGCATGTTTGACTGTGTGTGCGTACATGTGAAAGGTACATGTGCTTTGTGAGCTAATGGGCAAGTCTGCTAGAGCCAACCTGCACGTGTTTGTATTCGTGTGTTAGTGTTTCTTCACTGGGCAATAGGCCCCCCTCCTGCCCACTGAGCTCATTGTAAGCCGTGCCTGCCCTGCTCCCTTCACTGGCGTTTGCCTCTAGTTCGCCCTGTCCCTGTCAATGCCTGCAGCTCTCTTCTGAGTTTCAGCGACCAGCAGCTGGCCTTCTTCCAGCCCATCTTTGAAGGAGAGCAGCACAGATGTGGGACTCCTGCTACTTCAGGTGTTTTTGTCACTCCTAAGGGCATCTGGGTCTCTTCTCTGCCATCGCTGACCTGCTGCCTCCCCTCTGAGGGGGAGGCCTGGGGCAGAGCAGGCCAGAAAAGTGATCTAGAACCAAGGCCTCTTCTCATGTCTGACATGTCTCCCACTCATCTTCCCCCCGAGGTTCAGAGGAAGAGGCAGCTTGCCTGTGGGGCAAATCCACCTTCCTGTGAGCTCCCTTCTGGCCCAGACCTAGACCCTGACCACATGCAGGGCCTCCTGCATGAGGTGGGAGGGTGGCCATGGCTTGCCCACCACTCCCTGAAATATTGTTTCCATCATCCTCAAACCCTCATCCCCTCAGGCCAGCCCTCAGGTGAGTCAGAGTAAGCGGCCGCCGCTGCAAGGGGAACAGGGCAGATGGGTGTCTGAAACCCTCCATTAGGACTCGATTCCCCAGCCCCCCAGCCCAGCCTGCCTGCCTAACACCCACACAGAAAGCCCTGATCATCCAGGACGACCGGAAGTGAGCTTTTCAGGTTCTTTCCAGTAAATTAAAAGCAGACTGGAGTGCACGGAGGGGAAGAGAGAACATTCGAGTACTTGAAAAGGGGCAGAAAATGTAGGGGCACCTGCACATCCAGTCGCTTAGATTCTCTAGGCCTCAGTTCCCTTGTTGGTAAAATCAGGATAAAAATACCATTGCCTGTCCATGGGGTGACTGCAGGTAGTACAGTTAAATGATACCTCCTGCAGAAAGCAATGTGCGTGCCAGTTACCGCTGAGCTGCGCTGAGGGTGAAGAAAGCCTGGGAGCTTCTGAGATGGTGGACATTGTCGCACCCCATCCAGTCTGCCCTTCCTCCACACCTCCCCCCAGCACTGTGGTATCTCTCTCCTCAGTGGACCTAAGCCGAGAGAGGGGAGAAACCAACGTGGGTCACCCAAAAAAGTAAGCGGGAGGGAGATTAGGCCAAGCCACAGTGGGAACTCGGGCTCCAGCCCAGCCGTCAACCACAGGCCTCCCTGCCTGTTCCCTTCTCCCAGAGCCACATCCGTGTGCGTGTGTGTGCTGACCACATGGGTGACCCAGACACATGTCCCTGCCCCACGCCTGACCTGCTGCTGGTCCTGGTCCTAGGAACCTAACAACAGTGTCAACAAGACCTCGCCCTTCTCATGGGACGATGTGGTCAGACACAGGCCCCCTTCACAATACCGCGCTGGGGGGATTTTGGAGTTTGGACCCTGGCCACCAGGCCAGCCACTCCCCCATGCCCTCAACTGTAGTCCAAGGCAGAGGTGCCCAGTGAGACAGGCACAGAGTCAGAGGGTCCAAGCTAGAGGGTCAGGTTAATTGAGACTTAGACCCAGAGATGGAGAGATGGCCAAAGAAACACAGAAAACCCACTCACGTCCTGGCCCTGTCAGCACTATCAGGCCCTTTTGTCCTTCTTCTCCCTCCTTCTCCTGCCACTGGTGTCCCCTTTGAGGCCATGCACCCAAAACCTCAAAGAGAAAGTCCCAGTGTGCATGAGTGTGACCGTGGAGGAGGGGAGGGCAGAGAATGGGAAGGGGGCTGGCAGAGGGGGCAGTGCGGGCAGCAGGAATCGAAAAACATCTCGGATACCTCACCTTCTGAACCTGCCCCTGAGCCACTGCCCTGAAGCAGCAGGTGCTGGGAACTCAGATTGGGGAGGGGGAGCTGAGTAATCACAGGATTACTCAAACTGTTGCCCGGGAGCCTGGCCTGCCAGGAACTTGCCATCTAAATGCTTGACAGTGCCAGGAACTAGAATCAAGCAAAGGTCAGGAACCTCTAGGCCAGCCCTGCACCTCGACTCCCACAGCAGCCCTCCCCTGTCTGTGCCCTGCCCGCACTGCTGCTTTGGGAAGGTCTGTGTGCCTCCCTGTCATTCTCTTCCAGGGCCCATCAAAGGAACCCCTTCCGTTCCAAGGAGAGAGAAATGCCCATACGTGCACGTTATCTCCTAAAATCATCTAGCGACTGGATGACTCCAGCCGTTTTTGTCTCAAGCAAGATTGCCTAGGGATCTTGTTAAAATGCGGGTCCTGACTCGGGAGGCTTTGGGGGTGGAGGGGGCGCCTAGATTCTGCGTTGGAACAAGCTCCCGGTTGGTACCCAAGCTTGCTGGGCGTTAGCCTACACTTTTGAGTAGCAAGAGTTTCCTCCCTCTTCCTGGTATTGTGCAAGGCTGCTCCCACCAGGAGATGAGGGTGGTAATGGTGGTCTCTTCCCCAGCTCATGCTGGTATCTCCTCCATCATCCAGTGTGACCTCTAACAACTACGAAAATAAAATGCAATCTCTTGGATTGCTTCAGACACTGAAGGATCAACAGGGAGCTTCCTACGGGCACCTCCTCTGTGGGGAAATACCAGTAGAGACAAAGTACTCTGTGCTCCCCTCCCTCCAACCTCCTCTAATCTCACCCTTTTCACAGCTGCGAGATTCATTGATAACGCTCTTTGAATACATCCAGAGCTGGTCCTGCGCCACCCTGTGAAGCCAGCCCTGGGCCCCGTCCAGGTGCCCGATACCACAGAGAGGAAGTGGTAGGCGCAAAGAGGGGGCTGCAACCCTGAGGGATCTCTCCCCTCAAACCCCGGAACCACCCCCAGGCCTGGTGGAGAATGGATACAGAGGAACCTGGGGTCCTCATCTCCTCTTCGTGCCCTGTCCCTCTGGGCTTTCCCTGTCTCCTTTTCTCCAATGGAGGTTGATTAAGGAGAAGAAATAACAACAGGCATGAGTGTTGGCTGAATTCTAGCTCTGTGCCAGGTTTGTACACATATTTCATTTAATGATCACAACAATCCTGTAAAGTAGGTACTACTTGTATTGTCCCCATTTTACAGATGAGATAACAGTCCAGGAGTGATTAAATGGCTTGATGTAGCCAGAAGTGGCAGATCTGGCATTTGAAGTCAGGTCTCTCTAACTTGAGAGCCAGTGTCCGCAACAGTGTAGCTATATACCTTACAAGGATGAGCTGCCCAAATGCACTGAGGAGAATGGGACAGTGAGGGGTAGGGGGTGGGTGACATACTGGCTGCAGGGGAAAGTGCAAAGTGAGGGAAGGGTCTAGGAACAGAATTCAGGGAGGACACCCATGGAACTAAGGCCAGGACTTATGTCTAGTGTAAAGATCCAGAGAGAAAATATTCCCTCTGTCCCAGCTCTTCCTCTGTGGTGTCAGCCTCCTTCCGCCTTTACCCATTTCTCAGGGGCAGGCTTCTAAGGTCCAGGTGGAACAGTTCGCCCATTCCAGCAGGGCTCCTGATCTGGGACTCCTCTGAAGACCACAGCTCCTTTGGGGTGTGGACTGGCTTTCACACATCTCAGTAGACCTCTCTGCAGAAATGAATGAACGTGTCTCTTTTCTTAGCTTAGGCGCCCACCCTTCTCCCTGAGGCCCAGACTCGCAGTCCCTTTCCCCACGGAGACCACAGCTGGTCCACTGTGTGCCCCAGCCTGTCGCCAGCCTCCCTCCTTTCTCAGCTCTCAGTTCCCGCAGCTTCTGCAAAGCTGGAAACCACGGGTGGTGGGTACCACCACAGGGGAGAAGGAGGGGGAGGGGTGGGTGTGGGTCAGGAGAAAAGCAGTTCTACCTGGTGAGCACGCCTCCCAGCCCATGGCGAGAACTTTCTGCTGATACACCCAGATCCCGGGGCTGAGAAAGTAACAAAGCTAAAACTCAGGTGGGCGAGGGAGAGTCTGGGGTTTTGAAAAGCCACGAAAGACAACCAGCCACCTGAAACCCCCTCCTTGTGCCCCCGCCACCCCCGCAGTC